GCTTGAAAGATTCATCTAATAAAGCTGGTATAGATATTTCTTCATTAATATTAAGAAAACTATATGCTTTCTTCCAAATTATTATGCTTCAAAGACAATCTAAAGCAAAGTGTTCTATAGTTTGTACTTCATTTGAGTACCAAATATAGCTTTTTGTTTCTGATGATCCAATGTGTCTTAATCGATATCTTAGTAGAAGTGCTCTATAAAAAAGATGTCAAAAAACATCTTTTTTCTTGTTACAGACAGACTTTAAAAAGAGCCAGATATGTTGTAGTGCCTGTAAAAATGTTTGTGACAGAGTTAATAAAAGAGAAGATTTTTTTAAAAGTTCTAGAGTTTTCTTGACTGAGAATTCATTTCTTTTAATTTTTTTGATTCTGATTTTATTACTGTTCTAGGGCCAGTTAGAAGTATATGAAACTTTGCCTTTAATTCTTGTCCAGGCCTTTAAGTAAGATTTCCATTCTGAAGGCCAGGCTTTTATACTTGTGTTGCCAGAATTCAGAGCCTGTCTGAAAGAAATGTTCCTTTTATCCTTAAGTATAGACTGTATCTTATTTCTTTCATATATTGTTCACATCAAGTTGGATGTAAGAAGCCTTATCCAAACTGTTATTAAGTGAGCATCTAGCATATTTTTAATGACTGAGACTTGAGGATCTGCAAATTCTGTCAATTGCTAAAAGGTAGAATATCTAGGAAGCATCTGTGATATGCCTTTAATCCAAAGAGTTATAATTCTGTTTATTTTTGCTACTTGCTTTCTGTTAGGTAAAAGCAGATAGGCTAAGTACCAAACTTTGGATAGAATAAGTAATTTTGCGATTAAAATTTTCTATTTAAAAAAAAAATTTCTGTTTAAAAGCTTGTCAAAAGATTTCTTTAACTTGTTAATAGTGATGGCCCAAAGATCTTTTTCAGTTAACTATTAGTAAGGATGTTATAGCCCAAAATAGTAATATTTTCTTGTTCTTCTAGTTTAATAAATTAGTCTTTATTAGGAAGTTCTATTTATTAAGCTATAGCTGTAAGAGAAACTAATTTGGTTTTAGTTCTATTAATTTTTGCATTTAAAGCTGCCTTATATAGGCTTAGTGCTACCAAAGTTTTGTTTCAGTTTAAAGGTAATCCAATTCCTATCATTAAGTTATCTGCATAAGCAGAAGTTCTAAAGAACTGATTTTCTAGTTTTATATTCTGTAATTGGCTTTCTAAGTTCTTTATAAGAGGCTCAAAGGCTAGTATATAAAGAAGTAGTGAAAGAGGATCTCCTTATCTAACTTCTCTTTCTACTCTAAGTGGTTTGGAGATAGCTCTAGCATCTATAATATAAGCCTCTTAATTAGAAAAAAGATTATGTGCTAGGCTTATAAACTTGTGATCGAAGTTCATATTCTTCAAAGTAAGCTCTAAAAAATCATAACTAATATGATCAAATGCTTTTTGTTAGTCGATGAGAAGTAACCAATGTTGTTTTGAAGGGTCTGATTGATTTTTTAGAGTAGTAATAATGTTAAGAGCTGCATCAATAATAGATCTGTTTTTAATAAATCCATGTTGTTGATGAGGTACCAATTTCTCACATATAAGATTGAGATAATTAGCCAAAATCTTTATAAAAATTTTGGCATCACTATTTACTAGTGATATTGGTCTTCAGTTATTTATATCTTCAAGATTTTCTGTTTTTTTAGGTATTAGTAAAATAAGACTTTTGCACCAAAAGGTTGGCATGACTCCTGAACTAAGAGCATGATTAAAGACATTATGAAAAACTGGTGTTATTGCTTCTTTAGTAATTTATAAAACTCATATATTAGACTATCTGTGTCCAAAGCTTTGTTATTTGGAAGATTTCTAATAATATTGCTGATTTCTTCTTGTATAATTTCTTGTATAAGAGATGAGTTATGTATAAAAGAGACTTGTAGCAAGTTTTTAGTCATTTTTTTTGCTATGTTGATATCTATATCCTCTTTTTTATAGATTTTTGTGTATTTTTCTCTAATATAACAAAGAGTATTTTCTCTTATTTGTTATAAAACTTTAGGGTCCTTAATGTCTTTTAATGCTAAGCATGCTTTTTTTGTTTTATATCTGGCAAAAAAGTATTTAGTAGATTTTTTCCCTTGTTCGATCCATTGAGCTTTAGAGTGAGTTTGCTATTTTTCAGCAAACTGAGCAAGCTCTTCTTGAAGTTTTGAGTTTAGTATATTAATTTGTAAATGTAAATAGTTATTTTCAGGATTATATACTAATCTTTCTTTTAGTTGGATAATGTTTTTGTTTAGTTTTGTAATTTTGTTTTCTACTGCTCTTGGTTTTCTAAAGGCTCTAATAATAGATTGTATGTATATTTTGTGAAAGTCCCAATTGTCTATATCTTTTAAGTCTGAAATTTTGTCTAGTATTTCTTTTTTTAGTCTTTTATTTTTAAAGCAGTTCTTATTGAACCTCCAGAGAGCAGATTCTTTTTCTTTAGGGTTGAAATTAAGAGTGCACTTGACCAACAGATGGTCTGAGTTTCCAAATTTTGTATTAACTTTTGAGATTAAATGAGCATTGTTTTTATTGACAAAAATATAATCTAAGTGTGTAGCTATAGTGTGATTGTCTTGAGTATTTTGGAAAAAGGTATAAAATAGTTTTGTTTTGATGAAGTTAGAGAAGTCAAGAAAATTTTTAGTGAGATCTTGAAGTTGTGCTTTTGTGATGTCACATTGTGGGGCTGCTTCACTAATTCTATCTCTTTCTGAATAGAGATTAGTATTGAATTTACCTCCAATAATATAAATAGCATTGTCTTTAATTTGAGAAGACCACTTTTCAAAAAACAGCTTTCTGTCTTTTGAACTAGACAAAGCATATATGTTGGAAACTTGAAATGTAAGATCTTTGTACTTGAAATTGGTAGTGATTATTCTGTTGTTTAGATCCAATTCTATATTTTTAAAGGTTATATCTTTGTTGCCTGCAAGTATAGCTGTTTTGTTTGTCCAGATAGAGTCAAACATCCATTGGTTCTTGAGAAAGTTTTGTGTGTTTTTGTTATTTAGGTTTGTTTTTTGTAACATAATTAGATCTAATTTATATGATTTTAGAAGAGTTAAAGTGTTCCATTGTTTTTGTTGATTGTTTAACCCTTTTACATTAAGGGTTACTATTTTGAATCTGATGTGATTGGTTATAAAAAGAAAATTAAGTAGTGGTACAGATTTAGATCTAAAAGTTCTGTACTCTGTTACAGGAATTTTTGTATAAAGTCTTTCTGATTGGCTCAGCCTTTTGTTTTGAAGAAGTTTTCTTACCTTTTTTCTTTTTATATGAGACAACTGTAAATTCCTCCTCAGCATTGTCAAAGCAAGATTGCAAATTTATGTTATTTGCAATTAGAACTAAGAGAGAGTTTAGAGCTTAAGGTTTTTCTGTTTCTGTGATCATGGTGCTAGTAATGTTGTCGATAAGAAGGTTTTCTTTATCGATATCATTGAAAGTTTTATTATAAGAAACTTTTAGATCTTCTTCTATTGATGTCAGGTTTTCCACTATCTCTTTTTTTATTCTTTTAGAATTAGTTATTTCTTTTGAATTGGCTAAAGAAGTTTTTTCAGCTTAATTCATATCCATGTTTAGGTCTTCTGTAAGAACCTCCTGTTCTTGTATTTTGGTACTTTCTTTTTCTTCTTCAAAAGAAGCAATTCTGCTTTTCCTCTTATTTGCATTAAACTCTTTAAATTGTAGCTAAAGTTTTACTGCTTATAAGTATGGAGAACATTCCTTCTTGATATGTCCTTTTTCATCACAAAAGAAGCAAACTTTTGGAGCTAAGTGCTATTTTGTAATGATTTTGTTATTCATAAGAATATAGAATTATGAAATTCTTTCTTTTAATTTTAGATCATCAGTAGTTTCAAATGTAATAATCTATTGATCTGTTAATTATGAAGTACCCTTAATTAAAAGTAGTTTAATTGAGGCAATTTTGCCTATATTATCGAAGGTTTCTCTGATTTCTTCTAATATAATATCTTTATCACCCAACAGAATATTTCTGATTTTGATTGAAAGAAAGGATCTTCTTGCATCAGAAGGAATATAGCCATAGTATGTTCTATCAAAGATATGTATATCTTTTAAAGCGTAATGCTTTAGTTTTTAATTGTTTGAGAATATTAGTGCTAACTAAGTATATGCTCCTTTGTTAATATATGACTTAGCTTCTATTATATTACATCCTATGGTTTCATGAAGTGAGATCATTATTTCATTTAGTGAGCCTGTTAGATATTGGATATTTATGATAAGAGCATTATTATTTCTTGACTTTATATTATTTCTTAATAAGAAAGAAAAAAAAGTTGACTGTCCTCTTTTAACTTTAGCAAAGAGGCTAGTTCAAGATTTGTTCACAGTTTCTTTGCTTTTGTTTATTTTAGTTGAACTTAGTTCTGTTAGTGATATCTCATATGGGTTTATGCGTATTGTTGTTGTTGGTGCTGAGTTTTCATTGTTGCTAGATTTTTCGTTATGTGTCTCAAAATTAGACACGTCTGATTCCTTGTTTTGGTCTTTTCTTTCTTCAGAAAGACCTTCTATATTTTCTAGAAAGACTTGTTCATCCCAACTGAATATGTTGTTATTAGTATCTAGTTGTTCAGAAACTGCTGAAACTGTCAGATAACTGTTTGCTACTGTGGTTTTCTCTTTGAAATGAGAGCCTTTTTTGTTGTATACAGTAGGCTTTTCTATATTGAAGTAGTTAGTAAACTTAATTTTCTTGCATTTGTGAACCTCAAAAGTAGGAGTACTATGTTTCTTAGAAACAAGAGGAGATACCCCTGTTCTGATACTGTTTTTAAAGATAAAAGAGCTCTTAGATAAATTAATTTTGTTTCTTCTAAATTACTCTTAACTCTAAACACAAGTAGTCAGGAGAGAGAGATCATCAATCTTTTTTATAATAAACATTTTATAATCTAACATTTAATTTGCTATAATTATCTTATCTCATAATAATCATTTTTTAAATAATTACTAGTATTGTTTTTATTTTGTGCTACTAAAGATAATGGTTGATTAATTTGATTAATTGTTTTAGAACTTGATGCTGATAATTGAGTTGAATGCCTTGAAGATTTCAAAGATCTTATTTTATTAGAGATAAATAATTCAGACGAATTGTTATCATTGTTGACTTCAGAACTATCGGCTTCAATTGCATTAGAAGTTGATACTAACAATTAGGTTGAAGTCTTTGAAGATTTCAAAGATCTCATTGTGTAAGAAGTAATAATAGTAGGTAATTCAAATTTATCATTATTACTATTGGTTTCAGAATTATTAACTTCAATTGTTTTGAAACTGGTTGCTAGTTGTTTAGACAGAATTCTTGAAGATTTTAAAGGTTTAATTGTACAAGAAGTAATGTTAGGTAATTCATATACATCATCATCACTGTTAACTTCATAACTATCAGTATCAAAGGAAGGGGTAATATTATTATATTTTGGAAAATAATTTTCATTAGATATGATAGATTGAATATCTATTTTATTATTAACTTCAGTTATATCATAACTTGATGCTAATGATTGGGTTGGAGTTTTGTTCTTGAACCTTGAAACAGAAGGAATGGTATTCTTATATTTGGAAGAGGGAGGGATACCTTTGGCATGGGCTTCTTTAATCTTGTTTTTGTGCTTAGTTTCTACTACAAACCATTGTAATATTAATGTATAACATTTATTTTATTATTAAAATAAAAATATAATGATAAAATTTATATACCCCAATTTCCAATAATATTTTCAGAAATTTTCTGTAAAACAAAGTCTCTAACCAAAATAGGAAAAGTCAGAAAGTTATGTTTGAACTACATATATATATGTATAGTATTATTAATTTTTTTATATGCATAATAAAAAGCAACAATTATTTTACATAATATGCATGTACTTTATTAATAATTTTCTGAATTTTTCCTAGTGATTGTTCTGACACATACTTGCCTTTTTGGCAACTTGCTGCTAACCTGTCATAAAGGTTTCTCTGTATGTAAAAGTTAAAATAATAATTACCATTATTTACAATATAATAGTAAAAAAGAGATATATAATAATAAATACTTGCTCGATAAGTCCAGTAAGTATTATGCAGCAAACTTAAAAAATCTTTCTAATCCTTATTCAGCTTTTTGTTCTTTTTCTATTATTTTTACTCTTTCTTGGTAATAGGATTTTGTGCAGATCCATGTAGAAACTAAAATAATTAAATTATTTAGAACTTAATAAATTGAAATTTTGAAATGTAACTTCTAAATTATAACTAATAAAGTACTTACTGATGTATTGACAACACCTATGATTGCAATTGATAATGCTAGAAGGGTTTGTATTGATTCAGAAATTGGTGCTGTAGTAGATTGGGAGTTTTGAGTAATTGTTGCAAGTGTTTGCTAAAAAGTGTTGGATTAGATAATAATTGAAAAAACAATGCAATATTCTGGTTTGCATCTACATTTATATTGTTATCATCTTTATTATTAGAACAATTGTTTATTGTTAAAACTAGTTTTCTTTTACGATAAAAAAAAAAAAAAAAGAGTTTTGAATTTATGTTTATTTGTATAAAAAATAAATTTGTTTATTTTTAATTCAATTGTATTTATACTTAGTGATTAAAGAAGTGATTGCATAATATATAGTTACATGTATATGTGTATGATGCTACCTTATTAATTTTACATTAGTTTGTTTTTACAATAATTTAATAACTATGGGAAGGCAAGTTTTATATGCTTGCATATTTTGTCAAAATGCATCTAATAATGTTAAGCATTTCTACTTGAACAAGACATTAGCAACAGAAAAAAGGTTTTCAGAATATACTGGCTATGACTTCATCAATTAATATACAATATTTAAATAATGATAATATACAATCCTATAACAGTTTAGAAACTTTTAATTCTCATCTATTAATAAATCCTTCATCTGTAGTTCCTAATTTGTTAAAGAGTGAGTTGGGATCTAATAGTTATATAGAAAATTAATTGAAATTAGATTGTTGGGATAAAACAATAGATGAACAGGAACCTTCTTTTGTGATTTCTAATGATCTAGCGAATAATAAATTAGAATTAGAACATGAATTAGAAAAACAAAGTTCTGAGTTAGGGGAGAAAAATAGTTATGACAAAAGTAGTAATAGTGAACTAGATAGAAGTAGTGACAATGGATCTATTTTTATAGAAATTAGTAAGCAGAAAATCAGTCAATTTTGAATTAATAAATTTAAAATTTATAAAATTTTAAATTTTGTTTATAAAGAATATTAAAGTGCATCAGTGGTGTTTAATACTGTGTATATTTTTATTATAAAGATTCAAATTTTAGTTAGTATAAGGTTTTGGGATTCTGAAAATTTTTGCTTAATATATCTAGTCCTGAGTTTTTTGGTTTATTTTTTTTTTTAGATATAGCAATTGTGGTATTAACTACCACTAGTGTATTTTAGTAAGCTTGTTATTCATTCAATACTAATATATAATTTTTTTTTATTTGAGATCTATCGAATAATTTAATTAAGAAACTTCACCTTTTCTATATCAAAAATAAGTATTCTTTATCAAATCAGGCATTCAATGAAATTATGAATATATTTAAGATTTCAGAGATATCTTTATATAAACTTTAACAAACATTTAAAAATTTAATTCTGCTTGAACCTAAGCTCATTAACATGTGCTAGAATTCTTGTTTCTTATTTGACAAAAATGATACTAATTATAAAGTATGCCCCAATTGTAGAGAACCATGATATGTATTTGGACAATTGTCAAAAAAAACTTAAAAATTGGCCGCTTATTTCTCTGTAATAGATAGTTTACAAATGCAATATAAAGATCCATTACACGTGAAACTTCTTTGTTATCAAAATGAATATACCTTCAGGGAGAAATATCTATCAGAAAATAGTAAGATCAGTGATATTTTTGATGGCAACCAATAAAAGTCCTTAGTTAAATCAGGTTTATTTTCAGATCTCCATGATGTTGCTCTAACAGTGTCTACAGATGGATATCAATTATTTAAAAAAAATCAAAATAATTGTTGGATTATTTTACTTCTAAATACAAACTTACCTTCATCTCTGAAAGTTAAAAAAGAAAATCTAATGATAGTTGCAATTATTTTGGGTCCAAAATTACTAAAAGATTTTAATAGTTTCTTATAACCACTTATAGAAAAACTAAAATGTCTTGAAGGTATTTATTAGGTCATAAAAATTTAAAACTTGTTTTTATAACATAAAAATTTTTAATAGACTAGCCAGTTGGTTTTTTTTTTAAATTTCATATGAAAAATTTTTTTAAAAAATTTTTAAATCTTAACCATTTATTAGACATAGATTTTTTTTTAAAAGGTTTTAAATTTTTATTCAACTGGGTTATGAAAATTAATTAATTGATTTTGAATAGCTTTATATTATCTCACCCATTTATTAGACATCAAATTTTTTAAAAAATTTTTCAAATTTTGATCTTGCTGGGCTATAAAAATCAATTAATTGATTTTACATGATCTTATATTTAAGTTTATAATGCAAATAAAACTAATATAAAAAAATTTTTATAGAAGGTGCGCTGTGTTATGATACATTATCACAAGAGACATTTACATTACATGGCTATATATTATCATAGTCTGGAGACATTCTGGCTATATTCAAAATCATGTGTGTTTCTAGTTATAATGCCTATAACAGATGCTAATTTTGTTACTTGTGTGGGATATATTCTGAAACAGCCTGGCACATATATTTTCTACTTTTATCATCAAAAGGATGTAATAGTGCAATATATGATCCAAATCATTTACTGCTGCACTCTCATATCAGTTATGATCAAGATATTAAAATGATGGAAAACAAAAGTGGAGCTAAATGATGTAGAATAGAATGTAAAACAGATGTTAAAGAGCATAGCATTTTATTCGAATTATGTTCTATTAGCTTTCTGAAATTCTTTTTAGTTGATATAATGCATGCACTTTTCAAAAACACTGCTTAATATATATTTCACCACTTTGCTGATAAATTTTTTAATAATGAAGAACTTAATAATACTGATTATAAAGTTTCAGTCAATAGTTGGAATAAAATTAGAAAAATATTAGAACTTAATCACAAATTGATGCCTATGGAATTTGGAAAACCTCCAATTAATATTCATAAATATTATACTGCCTTTAAAGCTGAAGATTGTATAACTGGACAGTTTTATATTCACTTTCACTTTTTTAGGATTATCTTTTAAAAAGGTAAAAAATTCCTTCTTAATATAGATTATTTCTTGAATAACCTTTTTTTAATTTATAGGCATATTAATAGGTAGGTGAAATTCATTAAGGCAACTCAATTATGTCTTGAACTAGTTATATCTAAAGAACAACTTAAAGAAATAAAAATCCTTTTTACAAATTTTGTTAACTATTATGAATAGTAATTTATTTATTTATAAGACTTTATAAAGGATAATATTCTACTTAAACTAGAGCTATTTATTTAAAATAATAAGAGTATCAAAATTGAAATCAAAAAAATATTTTTTATTTTTCTAATTTATAAGTTTTTTTTTATTTTTGTGTCTTTTTTTGAAACCTTTGTGTCCAGTGTTGGCCTATATCTTAAATAACCTTTATAACAATGATTGATATAATTTGTGATCTTTTTTTAATACAATAAGAATTGTAGTAAAAAATTCAGATATGATCAAGGTTATATAGAAAAAAATTTGACTTAGGTTATCAGCCAACATTGCTTGTATCTATATAAAATTAACTTCAAGTCTAATCAAATAATAGTGCTGCATATTACTAAACTATACAGTTAATTTAATGTTTTATGTTTCATTGAGGATTTTTTTAAAAAAAACCAAATCAATTTATTTTTTTTTGCTGCATTATAATGATATAATGAATATTATCAAAAAGATTCTGAATGCCTTCAAGCAGCACTTATTAGTTTCTATTACTTGTTATATATTGCGGAGTCAATCTTTGAAACTGGCCCATCATGGGTGACATGGCAATTCCTAATAGAAGACTGTGTGGAATGCTAATACCTCTAGTTAATTTTCAGTAAAATCTGTATAAAAACTTAATAAAGCAAGTAATGTTGTAGACTTAATTCATGTACTTGCAATATTACACTAAATATAAAAAAATTTTTAATGATCTTCTGGAAGAGCATCAGATGCATATTCCTAATGAAGAGAAATTGTATTCATTGTTTAAAGAGCATGAGATGACAAAGACTGAAATTCAGAAGATTAAGCAATATTACATGATAGTATTTGATTTAGTTATTAGCTATATTAAGATATATATATACATATGTATATGCAGTACTGGATATGCGGTATACTATATAAATTAAAACTATATGTAGTCACTTAAATATTTTAATTGGTCTAATTTTTTTTAGCATTATGATATTAGATTATAATCTTTTAGATATGCAGGTCACATTTATTTTTTTTAATTAAAAATTTTTAATACTTATCAATTTGTTATTATCATATATATTTCAAAGTTACAAGGTTTGTTTTTATATTGCTTATGGGAAATTTTTCAGGTTCTTATTTATATGCAGTCATTACTTCATTCACTCAAAAATTTTTTAAGCATCTAATAATTTTTTCAATACGAATTATTGAACCTTTATTTTAATTTATGTAAAAAATTTGGGTTTAGTATATGTAACCGGGTTTAGTGGCTATACAAACTTATTATTATTAAATTTTTTATGGTACTATATATAATTTTGATTTATATAGTATATCACAGTACATGAATGTTCAAGATTTGCAATATACATATAAGTATTTTATAAATACAGATAAATAGCAAGATTCAAAAATATAGCAAACTATAAACTAAATTTGAAGTTGTAATTGGTTTAAAGCTTGCAAATCATAAAGAAGATATCTTGCAAAACAATTATTCAATTGTGGTAAGTTAATTTTAACTGTTATTCAAGTGAATCAGAATTGTTAAAAAAAGATTTATAATCACATTAATCATAATTAATATAGGCAAGGCTTCTGGTTGACAAAAATGCACATTACTCAAAAAAGCCTAGTTTGTTTGAAGAGTGAGAATTTTATAGTCAAATTTTATTTTATTTTACTCATGAATATGAAGGCAAAGTATCTATGCTTGTATACATACAATGCATAAGAAATTCAAAAGTTTATAGAAATAATATACTATATTTTCACAACTTTGGTGAGACTAGTGTTATTAATACAGCTACTATTGATCACTGTGTTGGATTTCTCAAACTTGCAAAAAATAGGTATCTCTGGTAAAATTTAAAATTTTAAAGAATATTTAATTAGTTAATAAATGAAGTTGATATATTATAATTAAATAAGCATAATAAATTAAGAAAATACTTTTAATTCATAATAACATGTGCTTGGTACTAACCTATATAGTCTTTATTATTATATAAACTTATATTATACAAATTAGTTATAATTAATAATAAATTTTAATTCAACAATATAATCTTAAACCTAAATATTTCTGGATTACATCTACATTTGATATCAAATCATAATTTGACAATATAATCTTAAACCTGAATATTTTTAGATTATATTTATATTTGAAAACTTTTAGGAACATTTCTGAAATAATATCTATATTGGAAATTTGGATTTATTCTTTAAAATTTCTACTTGGAACATAATCAGAAAGGTTTCTACCTATCTGGAACAAAACCTGAATACATCTGTTAATAATTTTTTATAAGAATTAACAAAACATTTCATTCACTAAAACTTTCTCAAAAGAAGAAATTACAGAAGTAATCAAGGGGCTTCTAAACAACAAATCTCTAGGAACTGATGGACTCACTTATGAATTTTACAAACATTTTAAAGAGGCCATTACTCCTATTCTACAAAAGGTCTTTAATGATACATTATCTACTGGCAACATGCCTATCTTATAGACAAAAAGTCTAATCACCTTAATAACTAAGAAATCCTCAGAGTTAAATAACATTAACAACTGAAGACCAATCTTCCTAGTAAATAGCAATGCCAAAATCTTGATGAAAATTTTGGCTAATAAGCTTAATGAAATATGTAAAGACCTGGTTCCAAACCATTAGCATGGCTTTATTAAAAGTAAAGCTATAACAGATATAGCACTAGATATTCTAACAGTTATAAGAAATCAGCAAGACAATACTAAACAAAACTGGCTGCTTCTAGTAGATCAACAAAAGGCATTCAATCATGTTAACTATAATTATCTTTCAAAAGTATTAAAGAAAATGAACTTTAACTTTAAATTCATAAAGCTAATTAAAATCCTATTCATCAACCAAGAAGCATACATCATAGCTGCAGTCAAGATTTCTGCATCTTTCAGAGTTGAAAGAGAAGTATAACAAGGTGATCCTCTTTTGCCTCTTTTATACATTTTGGCCTTTAATCTACTGTTACAAAAACTGAACAAAGAACTTACAGGAATCCAATTAGAAGTTGCAGCCTTTAAAGCTTCAGCTTATGCAGATGATCTTATATTAGAAATTGGTTTGAGAACAGATTAGGACACTATCAAAAGAAACTTTACTCTATATGAAAGAGCCTTAAATACAAAAATCAATCAAGACAAATCTAAACTAATTCTACTTACAAATGCAGCTCAAAGTCTCGAACTAGCAGGCAGAGAAAACCTTAAAACAATATTAGAATATGAAGTTATTACCATTCTGGGTTATGAAGTCTATCCCAATGGTTTTCTAAAAAAGAACCTTTGGTCATCTACAATTAACAAACTCAAAAGCTCTTTTGAAAAGCTGGCAAACAGGAATCTCTCATTTAAAGGCAAAATTCTTTTAGCAAACTCCTTGATTTTGTCTCAAATTTGATATATAGCATATTTACTTCCTCCAAGCAAAAAGCATATTACAGAAATTAATAGCATAATATCTCTTTGGATTAAAAACAAATCCAAAATGCTTCCAAGATTTGCAGTATTTCAACAAGCACACAATGTTGCAGGGTTGCAAGCTTCAATAATAAGAGAAATGCTCAAGACATGACTACTCTCTATATGGCTAAAGCTACTCTCAGAAAACTATTTCTGAGCTAGACTAGAAAGAAAAAAAATAAGTAATATATTAGAGCTTAAAAGAAACTTATCAGCTTATACTGCCTTAAATACTAAGGTGATCAAAACTAAAGCTTGGCCCAAAGAATAGAAACCTTATCTACTTGCTTGAAAAAAAGCTCAGGACAAAATAAACATTAGTTACAATTGGCCTTGGAGCAAAGAAGATCTATACTTAGAAGACTTCAAAGCTAATGAATTCTCAGTCAAGAAAATTTTAAATTTTTGAAAAACTTCACATCTATCTAACAATACTATCTAGTCTCAAACACTTTTAACAAACAACAATTGGCTTTCTGTTAAATTGATAAATAACAAAAAAATAGATACATTCTGGAGAATATTTTACAAAGCACTACTTTTAGAATATTATTTAAAATATATAGACCTTTTAATTAACAGAAGTTGGTATTTAGACTAGCAACAAACAATAGATCACTTTGCCATTTATTGTAAGGCTAGCAAAAAGGTCTAGAGTAAAGCATTTATCTTTTTACAAACTGGCATACAAGAAACACCCTTTTCTTCAATTGAAAAAATATTCAATACTAGCAACATTAAAGGTTAACACCATTCACAAGTAATTTTTTGGCTGCATATCAACATGATATATGAAATTTGGTGTTGTTATATATCAGCAAGATGGGGAAACAATATATATTCATTTACAATAATTCTTTCTATAGTAGCTAAACATCTAGTTAATGAAATTAGAATATTGTTCAAAAATATTAGTAATGTTTCAAAGAAAATTAAG